GTTAAAGAGAATTCTAACCCGAAGAAACCAAATACACAAGAAAACTATCCTTGTGTATTACATTGTAACATGCATGATATGAACTATAAATTAAAGGCTCATTTGCTGAAGCTTAGTTTCTCTCTATATATGAAATGCTCTGTTATTCTCTATAAGCATCCAATCCAAATAAAAAATATGTAAGTAAGATCATTACATCACCGATCCAATTTCAAAACCAAAAGCAAAGATCTTTATACAGTCACTATGTTTATCAACAACCAAAAGGAAAATCAAGAAAGAAAACCAGCTAGTTGGGAATTCATTTGACTAACCTCTTTGTTTCTCTTTTTCTTTTGCCTTTGGGTTTGTTCTTCTGAATGTGAGCCAAACTCGGAACGTAATCAAGGAGAAGTGGCCATGCCTTTGCCCATGTAGTCCCTTCATAGACTTGTTTATGTCTATCCTTACCAACTACGAAAACTCTCGTCTTCTTTTTCTCACCAATGTCTAAAGTACAACACACTGCCACTTTCTTCTCCTCGTCCACCAAGAAACTCACCACTTCTATCCACTCGAAACTAACCACTAAGAACTTGCTCCACGACACCTCTTTGGTTTCGATTTCATCAATGTTGTTGGTCACCCATATCTTCATCTTCACTGACAATCTATGAAGATATTGATGTAACACTGAGAGCTTTTCGTCTCTAACAACCGATAGAACCGCGGTGATTGCAGGACCATCATCCCGTATTTCATCAAGACCATCATTCTGATACGGAAGAGGGACACGCCTAAATCTCTCTGTTGTGAAATCAAAACTTAGTATGAATTGATCAAACTCGTTACCTTTGCGTTTAGCAGTCCAGTAAGTATTGCCTTTCATTGACACACCAGGAGATATAATGTGCCAATCATGAGAGTCGACATCGAGAACCCTCCATGAATCAAAGCTAAACTCATACATTTCAAACTCAGCAATGTTGTTGTCATGATAGCAATACCTCAAGATTTTTCCGCATCCAAGAGCGTAAAAATCATCACTACTACTGTAACATGTTGTTGGTTTGATCGACCTGGTTTCACCAGTACACGGGTTCCAAACCACGATCATTTTCTTACCCGTCATAGTGCATAGAACCAAACCGTCGCAGTAAAAGATCTCAGATACACTGACCCGTTCTGATTTCTTTCGACTGCTAAGTTTACCTCTAACCTCCATAGATGCATCAATCATGTCGTCGTCGTGAATCACATGATTGATGGTAATCGAATGAACCTTTGAATTCGTCAGAAACATCACTTCTCTTTCTGATTTTCCAACATTCTTCTTCACAAACTCCGGATCCTTGAACAAGTTGTACCATAGTTTGCAAGTGACTTGCAGTTGTGTTAGAGATTTGGTCGGAACCCTTGAGAGTATATCCGATTCCAAATCGAGTGGAAGAGTGGAAAACATCATTGTTACTCTCGTTTGTGATTTTTCTCACCTAATTCTTTGAGTGGGAAAAAACCGTATGTTTTAGAAATGGGCAAGTTGTGAGAATGGACCCTAAACTGATTTTGTTTTAGGAAGGAATATATTCTTTTATTATTGGGTTTTTATTGTTACCCGATTCTTAGGGATTTGTATATTTTAAATTTTGATGGCTCCCGGATAGTACGTAGTAATAAATCAATAATTCTATTTTGTGAATTAAACGGAAATATATTTTGTAAAGATATTTTTGCTGCCTCTCCACGAAGAAAAATATTGATAACGTACATTTCTAAATTGTTGACAAAATATCAAAACCAGTAGTTATGAAATTGATTAATCATATGAGTAATCGACTAACATTTGATTTTGATTAGAATCTTTTAAAATAGTTTGATCTTGTAAACAAATGCTCGAGAAGTCATACAATTAAAAAAAAAAACGAAATGAGAACTTTGATTTTAGTCTAACAAAAGTAATACTTCAAGAAAAAAGCATGTTACCGTGAAAACGAAATGAAAAAACAGAGTTATTGAGTTTTCATGAAGACAATAATATCATTTTATGTTCTTACCAAATAGGCCATAATCAAAGTCGTGGCCAGCTCTCGCTGCACATCATGGCGTTCACAAGTTTGGCCTCAGTGGAGACGACAAACTCAGGAGGCTCTCTTTTGTCAGCAACATAAGCACGGTGCGATGT